AAGATTAATCAATAGAGAAAGAGTCTTTAATGGGAGCCATCCACTCACTGCTGCTGCAGTTGTCCATCACGCTGCCTTCTGTTAAATGAGCTGCCACGTTTCTGTTGAGGTCCTCGATGCCATTTAGCTGCCTCTACTGTGAGTCTCTTGTTCCGCGAACAAACTGCAATTCCACCATCTTGGACTGCAGCTGGCGATGGCAGTCCTCCGTCTCCTCATGGATGGATTTTATGGTGTCCGTTGTTTTGCTCTGCAGCCTTGGTGAGCTTAGCGTAGCGGCACGCCTCCACCCGCTGCAGGTTCTGTTTGGAATAACGCTACAATCTCCAGCTGCAGTCCAAGACGGTGGAGTTGCAGTTAATTTGCAGGACGAGGGACTCACAGCAGAGGCAGCCAAATGAAATCAAGGATCACTACAACTGCAAACTGACAGGAAGGGAAACACAGGACGGGCCGGAAATGAGGAAATCTGTACAACTCATCCGAAAAGCAGATCACATGCCAAATTAAGATTGTCAACGATATAATATCATCGGACCTTCCACTTCTAACTGCCACTGCAAGCAGACAAGGTGTAGAATAAAATCCCATGTTACAACCATTTTACTGCCTTTATACAACTATTGGTGGCGTGCTCCCTTTAGTTAGTAGTCAAATTACAAACAGAGCTTTCATGAAATCCTTTATCTTCTACAGTGTATAGAGCTCAGCCCAGAAAAGAGTCCAGTTGGTGTTGAGACTAACTGCTCATTCTGAAACACACTTTAACCAGTCTGGCAACAGCACTGCTTCCCAAACACCAATCAGGCTGAACCAAACTACAACGTATGTAAAGAAACCAACTTGGAACGTTGGAAAGAAAGAAACGCCAAAGCCAAAGTAGATTAGAATGTTATCTGGCTCTAAAAAGAGATTATGAATTGGCAGAACATCTCTATACTGTCAGAGACAACAAGCAGCGACAGATCCAAACCAAGTACAGGCTCAGTGATCACGAACCATAAAGGGAAGACATGGAAAAGTCACGGCAACCAAAAGTGACAGAATACGGGATCGCTGGTGAATGTTTCGTTTTACTTCACTCAACTGCAATTTCAGAGCTGCAGTTGGAAGAACTAAATAAGCTCTCAAAGTTAAAAAAAAAAAAAAACACTACAAGGAGAAAGACATGGCACACATCTTGCTGCCAAACATCAACATGCCAACTTAAATCGGAGCGTTGATGCTGCAACAGCAAAAGCTCTGCTCACAGCCATGCTTTGGAGGCACTCTTTGCAATAAATGGAGCGCATTATAATGTCATATTCCAGTGTTTCCCACAGATGAAGTATATATTTGCTGTGGTGGGTGGAGCGGCGTGGCCAATATGCATGCACAAACTCATGCAGTTCCGAGGGAAACAGTTGACCGGGTTGTTTTCTGAAGGTACAATGCACAGATGTGTCCTAAACGCCTCACATGCAGGCTATCAGCAGACAGTACAGTTTACAGATGCTCCCTGAACGCCTCACGTGCATCACGCCTCACCCTGCAGCCCTGCACATGCATATGATATAATGCACATGTATAATTAATAAATGCCAGTCTTAATTTTGTATGGAGGTTTCTATTACTGTTGTTGTGTACTATCCAAAGTTTGAGTTGAGTGTTGATGCTTTGGCCTAAAACCAATAAAAGGCCCTTTGAATTGAATTTAATTGACTACACGCCTAAGAAATCTCTAATTCTATGTCTTGTTATGCTAATCTTTTGGTTTTAGTTCTTAAATATTAAGCTTAAGGGATAAAAAGCTACCCATGTAAAGGGATCGATGAGAGTTGAGTGCCTTTAATTGCAAAAAAGGTTGGGATGTTGCCACCAGATTAAGACAATGCTGCCGATCCCAGTTTCCAGCTTTCCAAAGGCAAACAAGCATCCACAGATATGATGATAGTACACGAGAAGATGCATCTGCAGCAGTCGTAAGGGGTTAAACGATACTGAAATGAACAGAAAACTCGCGTTTCCACTATGTTTGGCAGTCTTACAACGAAACCTCCCAGTGCTGCAGTGAAACCGAGGAGGCGATGCGCTCTGACAGCGAGTTACTAACGCTTTTCCTTTACGAGATTGGCCGAGGCTGAAGACGGCAGCTGCAGCTGGAGACAGATGTGTCCTGGGAGAGATGTGAGCTGGAGATGCGTGACAGCTTTGCCATTATGTCACTGTGTAGGTGTGTGTGAGCGCTTGTGTAACAGAAAGAAAAAGTAAACACGTTTGTATCTATACGGCATGTATGCAAAGTATGTAACTGGTTCGTTACAGTTTTATTTATGTGTTGAAGACTGCATGTGCAGAGTTTTTTACTGCAGAGAAGAATTTCTGGCGCCACCTAAAGAGATAAAAGCCAGCACCAAGGGAAAACCGCCAATGCCAAAAAGATAAGAAATGAGGATTTTTGTTCAAAGCTGTACTAGGTTTATTGATCGGGGTTTCATTTACTCATGCATAATGAATCAAATGCTTAAACTTACAGGAAAACACACAGATTTCTGTCATATAGGGAAACACCTTACTGTACGCCTTTACTGTAAATGGCTGCTGTGCAGTCATCCCCCAAACTCCCACTCTGAGCAGGAAAAACCCTGATGTCTGCCACATACGTTTAAAGAATGTTTGTGAATTCGAGTGCACTTTGCATCCGAGGACAACAGGAATCATAAAGAATTAAGCTTAAGTGCTGCATTTGAAGGCGACTGAAGCGCAGCACATGCACGCTGTTGGCATATATGACACAAAACATGAAGCCACTCTGGGGGATTAATGCATTTTCGCTACAAGATACATGCTTCTGTTGTGCTAAATGGTCACTCTTCCCCAAAATGTGCACAGTGTGCTTCCAGTAGCTCGCACTGCATCACAATGCAAGTGTTACTCACCACGCTGTCTCTCGTCACTCATTCAACAAGCAGCAGAGCTGAATCTGCATCTGTGTTGTGTCAGTTGTTTGGCCCAGCTTTGCAATAATATGCGAGCGGTTTCCCCATGTCATGCAGTTATATATCTTAATAATTAATGCCAAGAATGTTTAGATAATGACATGCAGTTAATTTCACTATTCAGGAACGCGCACTGAGCGTTTAATTTATGGTGCACGAATAAATCACACGTTCTTTAATACCGCCCACTCGCCTCGCTTTATGTAAAAGCTGCAACTGCACAATCTTTAAAGTGACGCAAGAGGCAACATGTTATGGTGGAGCAATTCCAAAACATCGTCTTCCTACACATTTTTAAATATACTTTTTTTTGGGGGGGGGGCCCTTCAATTTGTGCCTGTAGCCTTTGATTTGACTGACTTAGATTGGCTGTATCAAAGCAACCCACATACCTTAAATATCTGATATTTGTCTTCCATACTTGTCACTCTCCGTCCAACACCTCCACTAACTGTCATTCTCCAGAGCTGCCTACGAGCCCTGTCACTCCCTCATCCTTCCTGTTGCTTTTTTGCCATCAACCTGCAATAATTGACGAATGGAATGCAAATCGTGTCTGAGAGGAACATCTCTCTGCTCAGCTTACAAAATGTGACAAATTGCTTTCACATTCTGCTCTGTTATCATTCTACCGCTTCCACGCCACATAAATGCAAGGAAAGTGATTTCAAAAGTAATCAAGGTGTGATTTAAACGCAACACGCTCTTGTCAACACAAACTGGCGAACACACACCCCGCCCGCCCGCTTCCTCCTAATTTTATGCATCATAATGTTTTGCACCAGTTACTCACATCTACCACAGGAGAAAAAAAATTAAAAATGAACAGACAGCTGGTGCCTCATCAGCAAATGTCAGTGCTTTGTTTCAGCGAGAGAGAGATGAGTGGGACCGAAGCCGGGACAAGACAACACTGGGGTCACTCTGCAGTGCAATGCAGAGCAAAAGCACCCTGCCGACTCCAAACCTGAGTCATAGCCCTTTGTCTCGCAGTCCACCGGGGGCCTAAAAATGACTCAAAATAAAAAAAATAACAGCTGTAGTTACACATCAGCAGACAGGTGCGGCCAAACATATATTGCCAAAAGAGGAATTTTTACAATCCTGCAACAAGCAACGGAGCTGCCCCTGAGCCAGGCATCAGGCTATTACATAACACTATCCCTTACCATCATTTGCCAACAGGGGATGACCTTGAGAGGAAGGCAGAGACCAGAGAGGCAACATCAGAAGGGAAGCAGAGCAGTTTGAGGGGGGTTAAATCTGGGGAAATCTCACAGATTTTTATTTTTTATCTTTTTAATGTAATCCTGCTTCCCTTATTGTCTAGAAATTTGTGTGCAGGAGAGGTTGGAGGGGGGTTACAACAATCGTGGGATGTGCTCACGCCTGCATTGATTTGCAAAAAGTAGCTTCCCATTGAGGGTGATGTGGGTTAAGCAGACACACACATACATACACAACACATCCCCGCCTTCCTTTTGCACACACACACCCTTCCTTGCAACATCTGCACCAACTACACCAGAAGACATCACACCACACTGTGTCATGTCACACCAAGACACCACATGCAAGCCATAATTATAATCTACACAATTCACACATGTCTTGCCCTGATCGAGAAGATTACACTTTTGTTGATGAAAGCCTGGCATGTGTGTGTGTGTGTGTGTGTGTGTGTGAGGAGGCAGCAAGTGTAAACCCTGGCAAGACAACCGTGTTTATCTAATGCGTGCAAATAAAAAAACACAAAAATGACATCAGGATTTGAGCAAGCAGCTCCAGAGGCTGCATTGATAGATTGCATGTGTCCTCATTGTAATGTACGTCTCATTAATATGGACTTAATGCGCCAATAAATCAATAAATTACCCTCATGAAAGCAAAAGGATGACGCACCAGGTTGCATCGCGCTCAGATGCATAACAAAAAATAATCATAATTTTTTAAATAAAAGGAGGCAATGTGAAAAGCCCTGCCATGCATCAGTCAACACATCACACACAGCATCCATCCTACCTTGCGAGAGTGAACGAGAGAAGTCCGGTGTGCTGTCTGGAGTGGTCGAGAGGAAGGGGGGGAAAAAACAAGCGCTTCAAAAGAAATGCTCTTCTGTCGAGCCTCTAGTAGCTTCAGATTTTTTGTTTTGTTGTTGTGGGGTTTTTTTGTTTTTTTTTTTCTTGCAGGGAGAAAAAAAAAAGTGAGCCTCGACTGAAAGAAGTGAGCGGTGCAGGTCCGTCGGATGATGCTGCTGAACACAAACTGCTGCTGATGTGCAGAGAGGAGGAGACAGTGAGCAGCTCTGTCTCTCTCCGCCTGCGTGTGGCTGAGCCGAGCACCGGGCACACAACACGGGCGGCGAGGAGCGGCGAAGGTTGTGTTTGTTCACCAATATCAACCGTGTGGTGCCGTCTACTGCTAGAGAAACGACATTTAAATGGTTTTCTAGACAAAAAAGCACATCCACGTAATGCTTTACTAGCTGGTAAATGAACTGAACTACTAGTCGTCCATCTGCTTTAATTTTCGCGCCACATGTAGCATAGCATGAAAAACGATAGCAACATTAGCTAACCGGTTAATTAACATCTGCCAGGGTTAATGCTAAAAAACCAGCATACATTTAAAAGGTAAGTAACTTGGCAATAACGTTAAGTAATTACTGGATAGAGAAGTAAATGACATTGCTATTGTAAAACTGCAAACCTATCTCAAAATAGGTGGTCTAAAGTAAGATTTAAATTAGCGTACAATGAGCATTAGCCTCCCTGTCTATGGTGTAGAATACTGCTGGCTAGCTAGCTAGCTTGTTGACTGTACAAAGTAATTTTAAAGTAACAGCTGCAAAAATACAGCAAAAAACAAACTACACTGATATTGCACAGGGTTTGAAGTCTGAACTTCTACAAAAATAGGATAATAACAAACCATAAAAATACACAGCTGATAAATAATACTGATATTAGGTAGCTAGCTAATCCACATCAATTAGGGTTACTGCTAAGCTAACTAAAGCACTGTCCATGTACAAGGTAAGTAACGTGTAAATAATGTTATCTAATAATAAATGGATAAAGAAATAAATTATAGGACTAGCTTGAAGTGGTAACGAATGTCACAATTAGTGGTTAAAAGTAAGATTGAAGTTACCATAAACTAAACATTGGTCTGAACTTTTCAATTGTAGAATATAGTTTGATAGCTATCTAGTTGGCTGTTAGCAGTAATTTTAAAGTAATAACCACAAAAATAACATTGGGTGGTTCAAAGAAAAGCAAACAGTAAATTCTCACATCTCTTAAAGAGCGGGTAATTATTCGTGTTTGTTCTGTCACTCTGGCCAACTCTGTTTCTATAATGTAAAGTCGAGTAACAATTAAAGCTAGCATTTGCGGTTAGCTAACTTAAAACCTGCTGCATGGGTGAAACTAATTAGTCCACAGGGCAGTCATAATTCAATAACATAGATAGAAAAATCCCATAAACGCAAAAGATAATATGCATATAGAAGATAAATAATAACAACATTAGGTAACCAGCTAATCCAAGTAGGCCAGGTTTCATGCTAAACTAACTAAAGCAAAGTTCCAGTGAACGGTGAGTCACTTGTGAGTAATGTTAACTAATAACAACTAGGTTAAGAAGTAAAGTGTTAGCTAATGTTACAGTCAGTAGCTGAAAGTAAGATTTACGTTAACAAACTGAGCATTAGCGTAACGACTAGATAAGGAAATGAAGTATATTAGTAGCTTTAGGTGTTAACTAGTGTCACTGTCAGTGTAGAATAAAGTTTGCTAGAAAGCTAACCAAGTGTTAGCAGTAATTTTAAAGTAATAACTGCAAAAATAGAGCAAAAACGAAGTCGTACTATGAACGGTTTTATTACTTTCAGGTACAAACTAATATTACATTCAGTGACTGAAAGTATGTTTTAAGGTTAGTTTCCTTTCTTGGTCAAAAAAGGCATAAGCCTTCATAGCATGGGTGACACAAATCATTACACAGAATCCTTTTCAGGAACATAAAGATTCTGTTGTGCGTAGTACTTTTTTGTGGTACTGTTTGCTGTTTTAAATAGTACCAATTCTCATACTGTAAATAAGAATACTAATTTCTGTTTAAACATTTAATATCATGACCTACATTCTTTCTAACACCCAGCAGGGCACAACTTCTGTGGCTACAAAAATAAGTATGCCGATATAGAAATGTATAGGAAAATGATCCTACTAGTGACAGTGTTCAATTTGTGTATTATGGTCTCATTTACAGTAAAATACACAATAAAGCAGGATATGCTTTAAGGCAGGAGTGCATTGCGTTTCACAAGACACAACCCAATGGATGTACATCATTTCCTTGAATTTTCAGTCTGATCCACTCGTCACTAATTTTGTCTGATTTAAAAAAAAACAAGATATCAAATTCCAAACTCAAGGCTTCAAAACAGTAGTCCACAAACCAGTGCATTTTATATATAGTCTGTGTGGTTGGTGAGGCCTGTAAGGTACACAGGCGTCCTAAAATTCTTCCTTCTTTTCACATTAACTGAATTGCATTTACAGGTGCTTTAATTTGAGGTTCCTGACATTGTGCATGCTGGATCACTGTTGTGGTGTCGTAGCTCAGTGGGATGCAAACACACCCAATGTAAATGCTGTTAGTAGCACTTGTATTCCTGTTGTGACAGGTCAAAAAGTCTGCTGTGAAAAAGGTCTTTTTTATGAACTGTAAACAATGTTATCATTGTCAGAAACTGAGCAGAAACAGAGGACTTCTTGATTGGGATGTTAAATTCTGTGGACAACAAAACAGCAACAGTGCTACAGTGCCATCTCCGCGTTCCGAATTAGCATTATGATGTGTGCATCTGTTCTGGTACAGGACATCTAGGGACTGAACAATTATTTCTTTTGTCTTCATTTTTTTCTTCAAAGGTTTGCTGTGGGATTATTTCCATGTGTTTGGACTCACAAGTTTGGTATAAGGTGAGACACTGCAGCTGTATGCAACAAAACACATTGGATAATATTATGCAGGGTAGTTCAGGCTGACGAAGACCATCCACCACCAGTCTGTTTTGAAACAGCACTCCAGTCTGAGCAGTCTTTTTTTTAATGTGGAATATTTTTTTCTAGAACGTCATTGACCAAAAATAAACTATGCTTTACAAACAATCTTGATAGGATTACTCTTTTTTTAATGAGTTGTACTTGCTCTGAGCAGTGCTGCTTTCAGATGCAGTGTTCATACTCTCAGTCTGTTTCTATTGTAGGTTTTGTAAAGACAAGGCGATGGATAAAACCGCACAAGGCGACACTGGACCACAAGATGGAAAGGAGCTTACTTCACCGCTCTCCCCAAAACAACCAAGAACAGAATGTACAGTGACAAATGACCACAGGGGGAGAAGCGGGTTTCACTTTCCAGAACTTTTGACATTTAGCAAAACCATTAGCTCTCCATCATCAACAAATACCCTGCAGAAGAAGCAGGGCCTGATTTTCACCGAAGAGCGTGTGGATTTTCAAGATGAGAAACATGATGAGCTACCACAAGACACTAAATTAAATGTCACTCCTATTACTAAGGCGACTGCTTCACACAGTAACAGTGCACCCACAGGATCTGAAGTGTGTTTTATCACTGCAGAGAGACACCTACTGCTTCTGGGGAAAGATGAGCAGCCTCCAGTTACTAAAACAGACAAGCTCAGCTTATACCCAGGAGATGATACAGATGGGTCTTTAGCAGAGTCTCCCGCTTCAGCCAGCGCTGACACACCCGTTCTTCGTGATTGCACATGGCTGGGCAAATCACTCGAGGACGAGACCCCCGGTGGTTGCAGCCTTTCTGCTGGAAATGAAGATGGGAGACAGATGCAAAGCTACGTCAATCAAATACAGGCGGCTACGTTTGCTTCAAGAAACGAGGAGGTCACATGTCAGTCTGATTGCGCTTGTAATGACACAGGGTCCTGTACGACACAGAGCCAATTTGCTGAAGCTGTAGAGTCTAATCAGAAGAAGGACGAGCTTGGATGTAGTGAGAGTATCCTTGTTAGTGAGGAAGAGGGTGACAGTCGCTCCAGTTATTATGAAGACTCTAAACTATTCCACTCAAACCCTGAAGATGACCACTCTGGGAACTTGTCAGAAGGTGAAAAAAAGAAATTAGAATTGCGGATTTGTGAGAATGAAACAGCTTCTTTCTGTGATGAGGAAACAAAAGGCCAAGTTAATGAGAATGGCATGAGCAAAATCTTCATCCTTTCAGCTGCTGAATGTGCTGAGGGATCACTTCGTTCTTATGATGTGACATTAGACAGAAATATTGCAGTCGAGAATGGGAGTCCTAAAGTTGATGACTTCTGTGGGGCAAAAGAAGAGCATGCTGCTTGTAAGATAATAGCCAAAACTCAGAGTGAAACGGCTGATCACACAACAGAGACTCCAATGCCGGTTAGAATCAGTCAAGAGCCCGCTGAAGGAGATAATCATGCAGGCCTTTCGAGTGTAATTGACCCTGCAATCTGGAGTGAAACTGACGGGGATGCTGAAGAGAAACGCTGGAACTCAGTGAGCACTGCAGGTGTGGAATTATCTCCATCAGTAAAAGACCACGAGATGGAAACACCTCTTCCACTCTGTTCTGACGTCGGGCCATCACAGAGGGTCTCATCTCCTGACCAGACCGAGCATTTTAATCACCAAAGCGGAACACGACAGGGCAAAGATGAAAATGAGGACTTCTGTCAGTCCTGCAGAGAACCACAGGCTTGTTCTGTCACCACCGACGAGACGCACGACAACGCTGGCAGTGAAGTCAACTGTCAGTGGAAATCCAGTCCCAGCAGCAGTCTCACAAAGCCTCTTCCAGCTGGGGATGATGGAATACAAGAAAGCCATGATACTGTGGGACAGCAGTTGAAAGAGCAGAGTAAATCCGGCTGCTTTCCTGTCAGCCTTGATCACCTGAAGACACAGGAGGTCGAATATTCACAGAGAGAAACTGAAAGAGTGGACGAGACAACTGAGATAGAAGAAATTCTGCCTTTTATAGCAGAAATGGAAAGTGATGAACATGGGAAGTTAGAGGAAAAA